CCAGCAATTCTACGCATAGTTGTGTAGCAATGCTACACATGCAGCATGTTCTCACAAAAGCCCTTTCTAGGACTTCCGAACTGGAATGGGTGCAGAAATTTCAGCCCATTCCTCTAGTGGAATAGTGAGCAGCAATGAAAATAAACCCATGACAGCTACTACTAACAGTGTGGGATGGATGGATCTCATAAACCACGTTGAGCAAAAGGAGTACATTTCCTATGGCTCTATTTACATGAAGTTAAACAAGAGGTAGTACTAAATTATAGTGTTTAGTGACAAATCAAAAGTTGGTAGAGCTGCAAAGAAAAATAAGGGAGCAATGACCTTAAAAGCCAGGAAGATGGTCATCTCTGGCTGGAAGGTAGGGGTGTGATGGGAAAAGAACAGACAGGAGCTTCCACAGTCCTGGCTATATTCTGTCCCTTCACCTCAGTGACAGCTACCTATATGTTCATGCTTACTTTATCATTAATTTAAAAACTGAATGTAAGCTTTAGACATACTTCTGTATCAATGCTTTATGAAAATAAAGCGGCACATTGAAATAAAAACAATCTAACAGGCGACCTGGACTCTTTTACTCTGTGACCAACTCTGAGCTGCATGTAGCCACACCTGCCACACCTCTCCTAGACAGAGGGGCCCCCAGCTCAGCCCCCACCCAAAGCCATCTCTGACCAGGTGACTGGGATCAGGTGGGCTCTTCCAGAAGTTGAGGGCAGGGTGGGGAAGGGAGGGCAGAGCAATGTTTCCTGGAAGGTGTTTTATGGACTTGCTGCTACGTTGTGTGGTAACACAAACCCAGGGCTCTGTCTTTCCTTTTCTGTGACCTCCTCTCCCTGCTGTGATCCTCACCAGGAATTTGGTCCCTTATCCCACTTTGATGTTGCACCGCTTGCTGGAGCTCTGGAAAACCAGCATTCCACGGAAGTATTTTTTGGTCCAAAGATTTCTCCAACTTAATAATTACTCATCCCTTAGATTATCTTCCTTTGGGCAAGTGGTATTGGTTGTCCACGCTCACGTTTCTCACTTCTGAGGTGCTTCCTATGGCCGCAGAGCTGTCTGCAATTGCTCCTGAGGCAGCAGCCCCATTTATGACCTCAGCCTATCACCCAATGAGCACTTAGGCACCTGGGGTCTGTGCTCAGGGCTGGAGACAGGACTTCCGCCTTATGGGCCTGGGCCTAGGGTTGTCCCCCTCATTCAGCAAACATTGCAATCATTAACAAATCAAAAGAGCAACTTTTTAAAAAAAAAAAAAAAAGTTAGTTTTTTAGAAACTCAAAGAAAAGTCCAAGTAGGAAACACAGATTACGCCTACTTTGAGTCTCTCATTTGGTTCTGCCTCAGCCATATTATTCTTTCCCAAGTCTGTCAGAGGCACGTGACTTAGAGTCCCTTAGATCTTTCCTGGAAAGTTTTCCTCCCAGAAGCTCCCTTTAGCCCTGGGTCTCCTGTCAGCATGCTTATCCGCCATGCCCGTGTTTCTTCTTTGACCGCCTGTGTTCGTTAATTCTAGATACTGAAATGTACTGGTGTCACCACCACGGGAAGGTTTTGACTTTGTCTTAAAACCATTTTCTTCTTTGAGCTACTTTCTTCTTTTTTTCTCTATCAAACTGGTAAAGAAAGTTCTAGCATATTTCATCAGAAGATTGCTATACAGAAATCTATCACGGGAGCTTTTGACATGTCGGAGTTTCTAGTAGTAGGAAGGAAACAGAGAGACTATACACCTGATGATCTCAAAACAGAAAAGAATTCTTGCTGCTTTTTATCCCCCAACCTTCCCAATCATGGATGGGCCTCCAATTCCAGGCCACACAAGGGACAGTGGGACCTAACCCCTGGTGTGCCAGCCTTTGATACCAACGGGGCACTGCTGCAGGGGCCCACAGCCTCCTGCCCCCCCCCCCCGCCCACAATGCATCTCTGTTGGATGTGCCCTCCCTCAAGGAGGGACTGACGAAGACTGACCACTACTTTTCACTTCCGCATCCTCTCTTCCTAACCAGTCACTCTACCCTGAGAACACCGAACTTTACTCTGTCTTATACAGAATTCTGAATACTGCTTAAGCAACAAATCCTAGAGTCAAAGTGCCTGAGTTCAAATTCCAGCCCTACCACTTACTGGCTATGGAACCTGAACCTCTTAGTTTCCTCATTTGTGAACTGGGGTAAATACCTACCTCACAGAGTCATTGTAAGAATTATAAGGATAAGGAGAGCAAACGTGATATAGCTCTAGCTCTGTGCCAGGTACTAAGTGCTTTACACATATTTACTCACAGAAGGGACTCTTAATGGTGCCCAGCGCATAGTAAGTGCTCAATACATGTTGGCTATTTTCCTATTAGGCCCTAATGGTTCAACAGGTGAAATCTCTCAACAAAACTGCAAATCCTTAAGGAAAAATAATCTCACATGGGCCTTTCCAATGGCTACACTGTCCGTGGACAAGTCCTTGGCTCATGCTGAGTAGTAAATAAGTGAGACTCGAAGTGACTTAAACCAAAAGCAGAATTCCTGAATGATAACTCCAACCCATGGCATCAGGAACACACCAGAGCCTAGTAGTAACAAGCTTGGGCTCTGCAGGCAGTCGCGCCTGGGTTAGGCCCTGCTCTACCCCTTACTGGCTGGGCCACCTTGGGTTTCCTTCTTTGTAAAGTAGAGGTGATAGAGGTGTTTCTCCTGGATGGGCTCCTCTGCTCAGCCAGCTGGTGACTGACTGGCACCTGGGAAGTGTCCATCCTTAATCTCCCCTGTCCACCCACGAGAGCAAAGATGCAAGCAAAAAAAGGAGAAGAGGTGATGCTCTGGGTAAAGCAGATAATATAAGTTAGAAGTAAATAGAAATTACATCTGGGGAGTGCCCATCCTGAGCTCACCTCCCCTGGGGAGCTCTTAAGGGCTGACTCTATGTGTGTTGGGATGTGGGTCTAGATACTGACAGACACTCATGATTCATATGGATCTCTAGCATTGATAAGCTAGGTACAGGGTCATTTCTGACCCTTCCAGAGTTACTGAATCATTCGTACAGGTGGTCCTAAAATGCTTTGTAATTTCAAATCAGAATTCCAGACTTACTAAGACCCCTCTGCCATGTATAGCAACTGGGTCATCAGATAACTGTTACAAAAGCATAAAGCAGAACAGAGCAAATCCTGTTTGCCCAAATAGCTCTGGGCTCCTGCATCTCATTCCTGGGCCATTAAGGAGGCTCCACGGAGTTGCTTTCAATCAGTGCCTGTCCTGATCCCATCCCATCCCTTCAAGACAAAACACAAAAGAAGCACCCTATCACTTCTTTTTCCTCATAGCCCTCAGGTCAGCCCAAAGAAGCTGGGCTGATTTGGTGAGATCACTTCTGTGTTCCTCATATCAGCCTCATCACTATTCTAGCCTCATATAAAATCAGGGTGAAACTGCACTCTTGCCTCTTTGGGACTAAATGAGAACCAGCCTCTCTGACATCAATCAAGAGGAGATAATCCCCCCCCCCCGCCCCCAACCAAGCCTAATTCACTTGGAGATGGTGCAGGGAGGGGGCCAAAACACAAAGGTGAGACAGATTGTGGGGTAATTCAAAGGCATCTGCCAAGCAAGGTAAAAACTGCTTTTCCGGGCTACGGCACACAATGGCCAAGCAAGGAAAGAATGTGGACAATGGCTTTGATCTCCACACAGTGTCATTTGCAGAAATGATGCAATGGGGAGTGGCTTCCGAGGACAAGTGTAACCCAGGACAATGTGGAATCCTGGGCCAGTAGCAAAGCTGGGCTCATCTCCCCAAGGAAGTTGAGCTGCTCACGGAGCAAGGGCACACTGCTCTCCAGCAGGGGCAGCTAAGGAGAGGCGGCCGTGGTCCTCCAGTGTCTTCCTGGCCCAGGTTTTTCTTTGTACAGGAGCCAGGGAAAGCAGTTACCCTTCTGATCACATCCTCCAGCCAACCTGTCCGCCCAGGTGCCGGGAGTGGGGAGTGGTGGGGTTAGGTGGTCCGGCAGGAGGTTGGGAGGAGAGAGAAGAGAAGAGGTTTTTATCCCAATCGGGATGCTCCTGGTAGAGCTGTCATTGACAGGTCAGGCTCCATAGGAATAAATAATGGTGTGCAGGAAGTGGAAGCCTGGCCAAATGCTTTTGAGAGGTCCCAGAGGTGGATCCTCCACCAGCCAGGTACTGCTTGGTGAATGGGGGTTAGCAGGGCACAAGCAAGACTTATGCAGAGAGAAGGAGGAGAGGGAGAGAGGAGGAAAGGCAGAGAGGCAAGAAGGTAGGGAAAGAGGGAGGAAGAAGGGGAGGGAAGGGCATCTAGGATGGCCTTTGTCAAGCAGCACCCATCCCTTCTCTGAGCCTCCACCTGGCTGCCCTGGACGTCAGGGCTTTCCTGCTGCCCACACCCTTCTCATTGCCCAAGGTCTCTCTGGTCCAAACACGTTTTCCCAGAATAGTCCAACTCTCCTCCCATCCCCCCATCACCCCTGCCACAGATCCCTTACTACCATTAAGTGTCATGGTGCACTTGCAATCTCAGACTTGTCCTCAGTGATCCCCAAATTACATCCCATCTCCAGCCACCTGTTGCACATTCCTCCACCAATTCTGCTTTGACCCAGGAAGTAGGCTTTTCCCTTGGAGGGACATCCATCAGCCTCTGTACAGGCTCTAAGATATGCTAACTGTGCTGGGACTCTCATTGGCTCAGCTGCTGCATGGCTTCTGGGCCACAGAAGGGTCAGGACCTGCTCCTGTGTCCCCCTGACAGGTTGGGGTTTGCCAAGACCTTGGTGCCTCACTTGTTCCAGAATGGCACATGCCTGCACCCGCCCTTCCTCTAGAAGGCCCTGGGGCCTTGTTGAGAACACTCATTAACTCTCCTCGCACGCACAGACCCCCTCATACCTACATCACCCCTGATCTGAGATCTGAATGGTTCTCAAGGTAAGATGATAATGGGTACTGGCAGAGGTCAGCAGAGCAGACACTTACCGGTAGATGCCCCAGGAGAGGCGTGATACTGTCAGAAACATAGAGGATGCTGCCATCTGTGGTCACTGCGATGATGAAGCCGTCTAACGCCTGTGGAAAATGCAACAGCGGAAGGCTCCTTAGCCATGCTTTAATGGAGGATGTCACTGAAGCAAAGGTCCCCCCTCACGACACTGACTTTGTTGTGTAATTCTTAGAATATTTCCACAAATAACCTCATTGCACTTTTCGGCCTCGCACAGGATGCAGATTCATCTAGCCTAGGCAAAGTGCTTGCCAAAGCACTAAAGGACTCACTGGAATCCTACCTCTTGGAATCATGAGACAAAACTGAGCCATGGAAATTACCTAAGCAGTTTTAATGATAAGCATCCCATTGGGCTGAATCAGAAACACTACAATTACCATTAAAAGATGTCAGTGATATTTTATGGTTCCCATCTCCCTATCCCCAATATGCCTTTGAGTTCAGCGGGAAACATTTACCCGAAGATATTGGACCTAACAGATGCATTAACAACTGTCAGTCAGGGTCGACCTCTGCCTTCATTCATTGCCTTAGGAGGAATACCTCCTGGAGGAACCATTTGTAAAGAACATTCACATTACTTACTGAGTATCTACTGTATGTGAGGCATGCTGTTCCAGGTGTTTCCGATAGAAAAGAAGGGATGGAGGCCATCAATGTTTTCTTTCTTTTTTTTTTTTTTTTTTTTTTAGAGAGAAAGTGCAAGTGGGGGGGACAGAGAGAGGGGGACAAGGATCCAAAGCTAGCTCAGTTGACAGCAGTGACCCCAATGTGGGGTTTGAACTCACGAACTGTAAGATCATAACTTGAGCTGAAGTCCGACGCTCAACCACCTGAGCCACCCAGGCACCCCAGCCATCAACATTTTCTTACAGACACCTTTGCTGTTTTTTTAGATTCCTTGCTGGATTCTCTCTCTCTCTCTCTTTTTTAAACTTTTTTTTTTTTTTTTTTTTGAGAGAGAGAGATTCAGTTTTAAGAGAAGGGGTTTATTTGGACTGGAAGAAGTGAAACATTTTGGATAGCGAGAGAGAAAATGTACCAGTGGTTTGGTAACNTTTTGAGAGACAGAGAGAGACTATGAGTTGGGTGGGGGAGGGCAGAGAGAGAGGGAGACACAGAATCTGAAGCAGGCTCCAGGCTCTCAGCTGTCAGCACAGAGCCTGATGTGGGGCTCAAATCCACAGACCAGGAGATCATGACCTGAGCCAAAGTCAGATGCTTAACTGACTGAGCCACCTGGGCATCCCTCTTGCTGAATTTTCATGATGCTTTCAAAAGACACATCTGCAAGGTGATTTCTAAAATTTAGACTATGTAATTCAGTACAGAAAGGGGTCCTCTAGCAACGGGCTATACAGGTGCCCGGTATAGATGGAAAAGATTAAAACAAAGCCCATCTCACCAGAAAACAAACCTCTGAGGGAGTAAAAGGCTCAGGTGGACATTACTGTAAACCCATCACTGTTGCTTTATTAACAGTATCTTTGAAGTAACATCTTCCCTGAATGTGAGGATTTTTCTGCTTTAAGGGGGGAAAAAAGCCACACTGAAATATGTGCTTAGAAAGTTCTGGAAACATTTTTTATGTACTCAGCTAGTTCCTCCCAGGGTGTTACTGGAGGTCTGAACTGTCAAAAGGACTTGAGTTCTCTGTTAGGTGGGTGCAGCTAAGTATACTGCAGCAGGAATCAGAAACAGCCTGCTAAGCGTGCAAGAAAGGTGCTGTGTAAAATGGGAGAGAGTTCTCTTCACCGGGAAAATGAACGCTAGGGTCATGTATTATTTTATACTTACACAGGGCAGGATTTAAGACTGAAAACTATATTAAGGCATGTTTCTTAAGTGGACGTTGTCCTTGTGAATTACATCACTGGTTTTCCACTGGGGGCAAAGCCTTCTCCTCTTCCCCCATTGGGGGACACTTAGCAGTGTCAGCAGACATCACTACTGGGGTGGGTGCTACTGACATGTGGTGGGTAGAAGCCAAGGACGCTTTGAAACATCTGACGATGCACAGGATACCTCCCTAACAAAGAATGATGAGGTCCGAGATGTCCATAGGGCCAAGGCTGAGAAACCCCCAATAAAATTTATGGGTGCATCCTGGTACCTTTTGCTTCTTTTCCTAATTTTTTTTTAGTCATATTTTCAGCCCTCCTGGCAGTGAATTTTACAAGGTGGGGGCACTGTTGAGGATGTCAGCTGGACCTTTTAGGAAAAAACCGGGCAGAGTACTGGGAAAATAGAAAACAGTACAAATGATCGTCTTGCACAGTGAGCCCAAGCCCCTCTTGGATTTGTGAAGCATGTGGGTGTTAAAGAGCTGAAGGTATTTATAGATGGAAGATAACTTTCATCAGCTTATTGGCATTTCCCATCCAATGTGCAAGACACACGCTGAGTCACTGCTTGGAGAACACTTGCTATGGTTTTAGAAGGTCCCCTCAGCACCATCTGAGTGACTCAACACTCTGTGACTGGGAAGTCATGTGTCCCTCTCAAAGTAACGTTGACTGTGACAGCAGCTTAGGGGACACTCAAACGCCATAATGGCCCAAAGTTTATACCTGCCACATGCCAGAAAGAAAGGAAAACACCCCTTTCTGCCAATTCCTGGTTCTGATGCTTCTTGTGTTCCCTGGGACAACCTCTGGGCTGTGAGAAAGGATCACTGTAGCTTTTCTGAATAAAATTCAGAAGTACTACAAACCCCCTAACTGCCAGTCAACAAGAGCTTCCTCTTCTTTCCTCCCTCCCTCCCTCCCTCCCTCCTTTCTTTCTCTTTCTTTCTTTCTTTCTTTCTTTCTTTCTTTCTTTCTTTCTTTCTTTCTTTCTTTCTTTCTTTCTTTCTTTCTCTCAGAGCACAAGTGGGGGAGGGGCAGAGAGAGAGAGAGAGAGGAACAGAGGATCTGAAACAGGCTCTGCACTGACAGAAATGAGCCCAACATGGGGCTCAAGCTCATGAACCGTGAGATCATGATCTGAGCTGAAATTGGACGCTCAACAGACTGAGCCACCCTGGTGCCCCAAGAGCTTCCCCTTCTTCTGAGTAAACTTGTTCAGATGCCTGCAGCCACAATCTCTGTCAGCTTACACTGTTCCTGCTTGGCTGGTATGCAGCCAAGTCATTTTTGTTCATTCAAACTCTACAACCATAGGAGTCATCCTGGAGTCTAGTTTGGGGCTTTTCTGAGAGGAGAGGGAAAACAGAGGGATTCACATCGAGAGGGCACCAGTGGTTCATCTCCCTGGGGCCTGATGGGTTCTGTCCTGATCTAAAAAGAGAACCTCATGGTCACTAAGACACAGCATCTGAGTCCCTCACATTCCCTGAAATGGCTCTGGAAAAGGAGAGGGCTGTGCAGCTACAAAGGGACACACACTAGTTAGAAGCTGCCTAGTGGCAAATGGCGATGACCTCATCCTGTGGGGGCCACTGCAGGGCCTGGGCCATCCGGGAGAATATACTGGAGGTACAGTTACTTATCATGAGGTCTGTGTCTACTGAAGAGCAAAAGCTAGAACAGAAGTCTAAAACAGAGATCAGTCAGACGTACTAGTTGATGGGTTTCACAGACTCCTCAAAGCTGCAATGTGCCCAGAAGACCTGCACAGGCTTAATTTCAGGCTTAATTCACTAACCTAGCATGATTCCTTTAGATCTGCTTCAAGGAGTCTACACTGGGAAGTGTAGGGGGAAGTGCATAAAGAATATACATACAGGGGTGCCTGGGTGGCTCAGTCGTTTAGGCATCTGACTTCAGCGTAGGCCATTATCTCACAATTTGTGGGTTCGAGCCCCGCATAGAGCTCTGTGCTGTCAGCACAGAGCCTGCTTCAGATCCTCTGTCCCCTTCCCTCTCTGCCCCTCCCCTGTTGATGTGTGCTCTCTCTCAAAAAAAATTTGTTTTAAATCTTAAAAAAATATACATACAAATCTAAAAATCTTTTTCTAGAAATTCCAGTCTCCTGAATCTCAGTCTTGCCTTTCAGCCCAAATATGTATCCATTTTTAACTTTATAAAAGTCTCGTTTCCTCAAACACTTTTGATTTCTTGAAACTCAGTGGGAAAAAAAGAAGGCTGTACTACATGCTCTGAAAAAGAGACTGGGTGCTATAGGGTTATGCGTTTTAACTACTGTTCCCTAAGAATTAAAAGATGAAATGGTTTATGTAAAGTAGCATAATGATACATTAATTCAACATTATATTTCACAAGCTGATCTAAATTTAACATACTTAAAATGCATTGCTTCTGGAGAAAGTTCTGTATTTTCTTTAAATATAGTTCACATGTAGATTTAAGTATCTTTCATTTTATGCAAATGTTCATTAATGCGCTTATATTTCATAATATTTGGACATCTTCGTTCTGGCATTTTCTTATTCCAGTACTTTCTGTTTTCTGCATAGTTAATCTATGTAAATTAAAGTTTACATCAGTCTTATACAGGCACCTAAGAGGAGATATAGAAAGAAGCCACTCTCCAAAAATGCTGCCAGGAACCACGGACATGCAGCCAGCGTCTAACTTCCTTTCACTGAACTCATCTGTCCCGATTTCCTCTTCTAAGTCAAGGGCCCAGACATGCCATGTCTGGAGCCTTCTCTCTCTCCACTGTCATGTCCATACACTCCCAGTCAAATCCCCAGTTTGGAAGTCAGAGCAGAGCACACTGCCACATGTTTTTGTAGAGACTCACCCTCATCTGCACAGTTCCACCCAAATGTAAACACAGGACACTGAAGAAGCCCATTGGCCCAGATCAGCCAGATTTCCACAAATACGACCCTAGAGATGGGCGTGGGCACCTAACGTTCTAGAAGGAGAAACGTGAGCATCCTTCTCAGCCCAGAAAGGGCAGGGAGGCACAGGGTCATTTACGGTTGACACCCACATACCATACTGATGTAACAGAGCTCAAGTTCAAAGCCTAACTTTAAAAGACTTTTGTTTTCAAAATGTGTTCTACCAAGGGAAACATATAATCACTGCATTCTAAAGAGGAGACTCTCTGAGCCAAAAGTCGGCGCAGAGATGTGATTCTTCCTCCCCCCTGCCCCTCCTTCCACCTACCTGCATCCCTGCCCGTCCCAGCTCCCACACTGGGTGTCCCTCTGATTGGGAGGCCAGGAGTGGGTTTACCTTACAGTCATGGCAGCCACAGCACACACATTCAGTTTGGGGATTTTTGCTTATACTGCCAAACTCAGTAGCCAAAATATGAGCAATAGCATGCAGAGCTTCAAGGGCTATCTGTTTCAAGACCTCTTTCCAGGGTCAAGAATAGCTGTTTACTTCGGGCACAGGGTCTTATCTGGAACAAGCAGTTGCATTTTGACTTGCAACCAACTAAACTAATTTGAAAGGGCATTTCACCTCCAACATCAGCTGAGTGAATTCTTCATTACTGAGGAATGAAGGCTTCCAGTCTTGTTGAATATCACAGATTTCCGTTTGCGCTGAGACTTCTGGAAAAAAAAACCATGAATAAACTTTTATATTCAAAGTCACCTTGGAATTGGAATTAACAAATGAAGCATACTTATTTCCGTGTAATTTTTGTGTAAACTTTTGTGTCATTTAAAGAAGCCAGTATAAAGAAATATGCTACCCTGATTTCTAAGGACTAGGGACTTTGGATGCAATGGACTGAAAAGTGTCTCTTGATGTTTTTATACCCCTTTAATGAGGTTCAGGAGAAGAGCTCTCTACCCTCTGCACGGCTGGAGTGCCTACCAGTAGCAGGCGGCACAATGCCCTTGAATTTCTACAGGACAAAGCCCACCATCAGCAGTTGGGGATTAAGTTGTTGCCACCTATCAAGGCAATGGGAACAGCAACTGGGATGGTAGGACATGTTCCTCAGGCGCCTCCTTATAGTCAAGGCAAAGCAAAACACTGTAGAGACCTGGGGTTTCCAAATTCCAGAAACATCTTAGGCTTATAGTAAATGACCTACTGTGTCTACGCAGAATTTTTCAGCATTTTGCGGTAGTGAAGTACATGTTAGACAAATATACATTACTTAGTTGCTTGTAAAGCCAGAATTTATTCTCTCAAACTTTTTCTAGATTGATCTATAGTTTGCTTGTTTCACTACCTTGTACTGAAGATGTTATTCATGCATTGTAAATGTAGTAATCATTGGAATACACAGGACTCCTTATATACTTTAGTTCTCTTGCATTTTTGAAAGTGTATTTTTATGACTAAAATGTTCCTGATAATATTATTCCAGATAGATCAAATGCCAGATCAGATATATTTGTTTTTCCTTCAGTTAATCCTCCATCTTAACCAACATTTTGCTCCACGTTATGTAGTAAGAGGTTTCTTTAGGGATTATTTTCTTGGTGCTACCAAGATGGCTTCTTCTTCCAAGATTCTGAATGCACAAGCTGTTGCCACCGCCATGGCCAGAGGCTGCACGAGGTGAAATGTATCCTGGGAAGCAGAGGCAGTGTGCTATATGCAATTCTGGGCCAGCGTCCATTCTGGGGTGCTAGCTGAGGCAAGGAAGAGAGGGTGAAACTCTCATTTCCTCAAATGGTTGCCACAGTTTGACCACTTAGGAAACAAATCTACCAAGGCCATGTTAGTAAATTAATGCCATCAAGGTCTCCCCCTTTCCCTAACACATAAACTCATCTGTAATGTTCTTTTGACCATTAGGATCAAGTTGTAGATTAACTGTCCAGGAGAAGAATCTTCCCAGGAGTCCAAAGTTGATTTAGATAGTGGTCCATTCAACTTAATGATAAAGGAAAATTAAAGACCCATTTCTTTTCTGTAAGTAACTTTTAGATCATTCAGTATGACTTAGATATTTCCTAAATACCAGCATAAGAATATTGAGGGCAGCCATTTCATTCACTTTGTATTTCAACAATTTGATTATAGTCCTTGGAAGTTAAGGCTCAATTCACAGCATATTAGTATTTTTCATGCTTTCTTTTGAGAGAGCATGAATGAGTGGGGGAGGGGCAGAGAGTGAGGGAGACCCAGTATCTGATCCAGGTTCTGAGCTGTCAGCACAGAGCCTAACGCAGGGCTCGAACTCACGAACTGTGAGATCGTGCACTGAGCCGAAGTCGGATGCTTAACCAACTGAGCCATTTGGGTGCCCCATCAATTCACAGCAGATTAAAAATATGTGTGTGCATGTGTGCGTGTGTGCGTGTGTGTGTGTGTGTGTGTGTGTGTATTTATGTTAGATAAAATGTCTCAAGGCAAATAAAAAATATTAAACTGGGAAATAAAGTTCAGTGTTATAATCATGTCTCCATTGGCATCTGGTGTTCCAATATTAGAAGCTATAGGTGGCAGGGCAGGGTTAGCAAAGAGGTGAGGTCAAAGTAGTTTCTAAATAGCAAGGGAAACAAAACCACCTAGGAGCATTTTTTTTTTTTGTTCAGGAAAACACTGCAATTAACAGCTAAAGCCCAAAATTCTACTACAGTGTAAGTTGTAGTTGTGCCCTAGAGTGCTTGCCTTCCAATTGTTCCTGTTATTCACGAACTAGGAGCAGTATGTCTTTGGGCTATATGTGGTCAAAGAAAAGTCTGGGAAATGGGGCAGAAACTCTCTACTAAGCTGGATTGATACTACCCTGTCCAACAGAGGTGTTTCTCTTTTTTCTTCTGCTTCTCCACACAACCCCATTCCCTATCCACTAAGGCAGACAAATTGAAGGGGCATGAATGAGGAACACGATTCAATGTTGGAAGAAAATCCCATTAAATCAGCTTGAAGTTCGCACAAGAAGAGGAAAGCATGCATCTCAGTCTGGCCCTGTAGAAGAAACATTTAGGTGGACATGAATAAGGCTGTGTGATACACCTTGTTATTTACATAATTCAGGGATTTATCTCTTAACACAGATAACTGATGATACAAAATGTATCTAAAAAGAAACATGGTCAGGTTCTTATTTTGATTTGGATTACTTCAAAAAGAATAAGTATGGATCAAGATTTATCTCCCAAGCTGAGAAAATGGGGATGCTGGAAAGATTATTGAGGAAAGAGTCATTATCACTAATTATAATGACTACCTGGGCCTAATCATCTTTTCTTATCATGTGGCCTTGCTTTACCATGAAGGCAGAATGCATGTCTAAATCCACAGTTCTTTAAAATGAGGAGCTTTAAAAATACACACACACCCAGTAGTGTGGTAGTAAAAGGCTCTCAATCCCTACAAAAAAGAAGGGCCCTGATTTACAGTGTTTGCCCATTTCTGTGGTGTAAATACTACCATGGTGGCTGATTCTAAGCTGTCAACTGGCTTGCAAAACTCCTGAAAATTTAACAATCATCTTTTGCAAGCCAGGCTGAGCCAGCTCCAGTTCACCACTGGGGTTCCACCCTGAGTACTCTGATATACTGGTCTCTGAGGTGTGACCCAGTTATATGTATTTTAAAATCCTCAGCTGATTCTAATGGGCAGCCAAGGTTGAGAACCAGTAGTTTAAATGGCTGTGCTAATGGACAGCTATAGCACAGCTATGATACAAATATCTGTAAGAGCCCCATGAATTATGCCTTGTGGAAAAACAGTATGGTGTAGTACTAAAAACTTGGGCTCTAGAGGCAGACTGCCTCATATAGATTCCCCATCACATCATCCTGGCTGTCTAACTCAGGTGAGTGACCTAACAACTCTGTGCCTCGGTCGTCTCATTTGTGAAATGATACTAACTCAGGGGAGCTGCTGTGAAGCTCACATGTATGATTATACAAGGGTCCTTGGAACAATGCCTGTCTGGTTCATGGTGAGCACTGAGTAAATGCTGACCATGTTATTCTCTTCCCTATTGAGGATTCCTGTGGAGTTCATGTCCATTTGGATTATAAGTAAAGTTATTGTTTGTTTTTGTTTTTGATTTAATCCAAATTTTGGTCCAACCACTGAATTCCTCCATAAAATCTACTATAGATTTTTTGCTTTTTTTGGAATATAGTATCACAAAGGATAAGTACGATCCTGAAGTGATCCTGGTTGCATTCAAAGGGGCTGTACAAAGTAGGCTTTAGTCTTACAAAAAAAGGTGAGATGGAGATGGGTGCTCCTGGTGTTAGGAGGCTGCATTTATGTTGACTGATCTTTTCCAGGTCCCCAATTTGACAATTCTGTAATTCTGCAGTGGACAGAGCCCAGCATAAATGTCACACTGATGAACTTGATCCCAGCTGTCCTATTTAACAGCTGTCCTCCTTCTCAGTGGCACTGACCTAGTTTGAGTAATTTGCGCAAAATATCTCAGTAATCAAACCAACCTGCTATTTCACTTAGCTAAATCATTATTTAGGAAATATAACCATTCTGATTAAATTATTGGGGCAATCGAATACTGCTGCAACACTTTATTCCAATCCTGCTTGATTGTTCTTCCCTGACTTTTAACAAAAGCAATTAACATATTCTTTACACTCCCCTGGGCAGCTTTGGAAAAAAAAAAAAAAAGGAGGAGGATATATCATTACTGTCATATTTTTAATAGGTATACACAATTATTAAAGAAATAATAAAAGAACAGCAAGTATAATGAAACTTTCTAATGTCCTAGCTGTGCCCTCTTCCATGAAATCATCTTGTCTAGGAAAACGTTCAGTGAAAGAGAAGCATCACTGTAAGCACAGAAGAATTGTAATTATCTCCTCAATAACCTGACATTTCTGACTTTATTATGTTTGGTGTCTTGGTTAAGGAAAAAAGAATTCTGCTCTTCTTGCTTGTTAATATCTACTGAGCCCTCTTAACTCCTCCAATTTTTTGGTACCATCCATAGGTGAGCAGCAGGGCAGGGTGGTCAATGCTAAGATGTAAACTGGTTTAAAGGAAAAAGGTAAAAGGGACAGAAGGCTATTTGAGAAAGACATAAGTTCAAGGATAGATTCAAGTGGCAACTTCATATAATAGAATAGTATATACCAACGAAAATGAACCAGCCACAACATGGGAATAACACCGATTAATCTCATAAACATCATGTTCATAATGTATGATTCCATCTGAATAAGGTCCCAACAGCCAATCTCTAGTATTAGAAGTCAAAATAGAGATTACCTCTGAGGAAAGCAGAGGTAGATAGGAAGAAAGGGCCATCTGTTGGGGAAGCTTGTATTTATTGAACTGGGCGTTGTCTTCCCAGCTGTGTTCACTAATATACAGTGTGATAAGCAATTCAATTGTACAGTTGTGATTTCTATATTTTCTGTAAGTATTAAAAAGTTTTTTTAAAAAAGAAAGGAATGCTGGGATAACTGGATATCTTCATGCAAAAGGATGAATTTAAACACCCTACCTTATTCCGTATACGAAAAATAGCTAAAAATGAATCAAATACCTAAATGCTCACCCTGTGGTTTGTATGCTTCAGGCTTAATCTATGGTTTAAAACTATAAAACTCTTAGGAGAAAACATGAGTGGTGTAAATGTTCATATCCTTAGACAATGGTTTCTTAGATAAGATACCTAAGGCATGCAAAACCAACATCAACAAAAAGGTAACTAGACTTCAAACTTCAAAACTTGTGTAAAAGGACATCAGTAAGAAAGTGAAAGGCAACCCACGGAATGGAAAAAATATTTGCAAATTATATATATCTGATGAGGGTCTAGTATTCAGAATATATGAAGGACTCTTACAACTCAGCAACAAAAAGATAAATAATCCAATTAAAAAAGATGAGTAATTGACAAAGGATTTGAGTAGACATTTCTCTAAGAAAGATCTATGAATGGCCAATAAGTTCATGAAAAGCTGAACATCATTAATCTTTAGGGAAATGTGAATCAAAACCATAATGAGATGTTGCTTCATACTCACTAGGAAGGCTATAATAAACACACCACACCACACCCACACCCACACCCATACCCACACCCACAACCAGACAATACCAAGTGTTGGTGAGGATGTGGAGAAACTGACACCCTCATGCAGCAGCTCAGAATATGAAATTGTCCTGCTTTTGCAGAAAACAATTTGGCAGTTCCCTGAGTTACCACTGGACCCAGCAATTCTACTCCTAGATATATGTCCAAGACGACTGAAAACATATCTACACAAAAACCTGTGCATGAAGGTCCACAGACAGCAGCATTGTTCATAACCACAGAAGAGTGGAAACAGCCCCAAGCCATCAACTGATAAATGGATAAGCAAAATGTGGTATATCCATACAACAAGTATTATTTGGCTGTAAAGTAGAGTGAAATACTGACACTTGGTAAAATATGGATGCTAAGTGAAAGAGGCCAGAAACAAAAGACCACTTTGGATGATTCCATTTGTATGAAATACCTAGAATATATAGAGATAAAAAATAGGTTAGCAGTTGTCAGGATTTGGAGGGAGGGGAAATGGGGAGTGACTGCTTTATGGGATGATAAAATTAGTGTTAATGGGGGGCACCTGAGTGGCTCAGTCGGTTAAGCGTCTGACTTCGGCTCAGGTCATGATCTCACGGTTCGTGGGTTCGAGCCCCAGCAGGCTCTGTGCTGACAGCTAGCTCAGAGCCTGGAGCCTGTATCAGATTCTGTGTGTCCCTCTCTCTCTGACCCTCCCCTACTCACGCTGTCTCTCTCCCTCTCTCTCAGAAATAAAAAAAATTAAAAAAAATTAGCGTTAATGGCTGCACAGCCCTTTGAATATACTAAAACCACTGAGTTACAAACTTTAAAATGGTGACTTTTGTGGCACATGAATTATATTTCAATAAAAAATGGATTTGACAGTAAGTAAATTACTGAGTTTCAATTCATTTTCTTCATGGTGTAGCTCAGAAGGCCTGAGGAGTTCAGAGGCCATGGCAGAGGTGGTGGGAAAAACCAGTGCATTCCAGTCCTGTGGAAAATGAATTTTGGGGCATTGCATCTCTTCAGGGCTGCAGAGATGCTTGCTGCAGCCATTTTTTAAATGGAGACACTCCATCTGAGCTGGGTGCTACCTGTGAGGTGGCTCTGGGTTCTCTCCTCTGGCTAATAAAGTGATTTGGGAGGTAAGTGTTCTCTCCCAAACCTGCCAGAGGTGGGATATTAAAGAAGGTGGAGTGCCTTTGCAAGAGGAAGCCTGTGACTGATGAAGCAGAAGACCAGCTTGATGAAGTCATCGCCAAATGAAAGGACAGGAATGGAATAAAAATGGAGAGAGGCGTAACCTTTACCATTGTGTTTCTGCAAAAATCCAATGACCTTCTCCAGCACGGTGGTTTTGTCCATTTTCCGCGTGTTGCCGGGGAGCATGGAGCTAAGCTCTTTGATGAGAACATTGAACTGGTCCCGACGCTTCTTCTCAGACTTGTTTCGAGAAGCTCTGTAAGCACAGAACACATAGGTTACTAGAATATTCCATTTCATAAAGCTTTATTATGAAATAGAGGTATTTTCTATCAGAGTGTCTTCTGTTGTGACCATCTGATCAGAACTCCTTCAGGGAAAGTACCATTTGCCACATTTCGGCATTGACTAATGGGGACCGAAAAGTGTTTTGCTAGACTCTTGGCCACAAAGAGAGACAGTGTTAGTAAGTAAGTTCTGACTCAGATGCGAAGTCTTACACAGATTAGCTCTGCTGCCAGATGCTGCTCACTCTGACTTCATGGAGCTTTAACCTTCAGAGAGCAAATGACATGCTGTGTACATGGCTGCAGCCCAGAGGGTTTTGCTCTGATAGCCCTTCCTTAGGCTTTAACCGTGGCCCCTCCAACCCAGAGCACCCAGCCCTTGGCACTGAGTTCCAAGGGCAAACCAAATACCCTGGGTGTCTGGCAGAGAGCTAGTGCCACACAGGGCATATGTCCTGGCCTCTGCCCCAGAACTCGTCATCCTGTTGGGGAGACAAGGCATAACCGTCTGCAAGCCGTGTTCAACCCAGGGCCAGCGTATGACAGAGAATGCATATGGCTGTCAAGCTGCTAAGAGCAGATGAACCCTTTTAAAGATGACATAGAGGAGCCTTAAATGAATATTACTAAGTAGAAGAAGCCAATCTGAAAAGACTACATACTGTATGATTCCAACTATATGACATTCTGGAAAAGGCAAAACTATGGAGACCATAAAAAGATCAGTGGCTGCCAGAGGTTGAGGTGGGGATGGATGAATAGGTGGAGCACAGAGGATTTTAGGACCGTGAAACTACTCTGTATGATATTGTAATGGTGGATCCTCATCATTATACATTTGTCCAAACACACAGAACATACAACACCAAGAGTGAGTGCTAATGTAATTTGTGGACTCTGGGTGATAATGATGTGTCGACGTAAGGTTCATCCATCAGAACAAACGTAGCACTCTGGTGGGGGATACTGATAACAGGGAGGCTGTAGGGATGGGGGACAAATGGAAAATCTCTGTACCTTCTGCTCTATTTTTCTCTATTCTTTCTGTGAACCAACAACTACTAAAAAAAAAAGTCTATTTAAAAAATGACACACTACACTGCACATCTATACAGAGAGCAAAGTAGAGCTGCTCAGCTTGAGAGGAGGGGACCTCTGAGGAAGTCTGAGATCCTCAGGAACAGGAAGAGGAAAGCACAGCTCTAGGGGTTGCTCTCCTAGATGACCAAACAAGGAGCATGTGCCAGAGGAAGCCTGTCCTCACCCTGAGGAGGTCTGGGAAGCAGCACTGCTCTAGAGGACTGGATCTTTAATGACATGCCACAGACCCAGGGGCTGACTCTCAGCCCCATGGGACTAGCTCCTCATCAACAGTTGCCTTAGTCAAAGGTGATCCAGAGCTTGGAGAACTGATCCATCTTCCTCAACTCACCCAGGATGGACTTGTTCCACAAAGTCAGCTCCCTGAGAGAACAGGAGTCACGGCTGCAGGGCTTGTCAGACATGGTCTACCTGCTCTAGGTACCCTGGGGCCTGGCATCAAGGTGCCCAGGACAGCCGATCACTTAACAGGAGGCTGTTGGCCAGCATGAAGGCAGGACTGGGTGATGGTAGCTTGTGACAACTAAGCAAGTTCCCATCAGGGGGACTCACCTCCCCTGGGGTAGGTATCCACATCTACAGGTATCAATGTCAATAAAGATTCTGCCTTCCCAAACAGCTCTTGTAAACACAGGGACATGATGAAAATATCCTTTTCTTAGATGCCTCGGTGGTCATAACCACTCTGCTTGCCTCTGCCTGAGGACACATGACCTGCCTTGATTTCAACACACCTGTTTACAAACCATCCTTCGCTGATTATATCTCAGTTTGGGCTCATTCCTGATAATACCTGAGGCAATTCTTTAACGCTCACCTCAAGTGTGTGGTCACTACCCATATGTAAGGATCTCTTCCTTTCCCTGACTTTCCCCTCATTCCTATCCTTGGATAGGGGTTTCTACAAAAGCCTCATTCCTAACCGAGTAACCACAGAGTTAGAGTCATGGTGCTGAATGCAGGTGTCCAGGGAAGACGCTAAGGTGCTTTTTGTTAGTCTAGGGTAAAAAGCCTAATGTTCAAACGCACGAGAGAGAAGAAAGGAACCTTTTAACTTTCTGAGTGACTGTCTATGCATTATAAATAATTTTTTGGCCTAGATTTTAAGAGTGACATGCAGCCTCCTTAGCCAAAAAAAGCTCTGTTCCTGTCCTAGTTTGCCCATTATAAATTATTTGTGAGCCGATAACACCCAGCTCATTATTACTCTGTTCTCTTCTTCAATGGGTGTAATGACAACCAACATGGCCTGGCAGAGAATACGATGAAGGCTTATATCATTAGTGACAGAAACACAAGCTTGTTTCCGTCAGCCTCCGCCTGGGACACACTATGGTGCCCACTGGAAATCGGTCAATGTCAGCTGGATCTGCAGCTCTGAGGCAAGAGAAAGAAAACGAGCCTCAAATGACCTTATTTCCAATAAGGAGGTCAGCTTGGCCCTGAGACACCACACATAAGGCACTGGGGCAACCGGCTGAAAGACACTTAATTCACTTCTGGGTTTGTTTGTTTTTACGTCATTATTTACATTCAACAAAATCCACCCACGTTAAGTGTACAGTTTGATGAATTTTGGTAATTATATAACCACCACCAAAACCCAGAGACAGAATGGTTCCCTCATCCTGAAAGGTGTTCTCTTCCAACTTGCTGATCTCCCCTTGATGACAGCCGCAGGAAACCACTGATCCGCTGTCACTTTAGTTTTGCCATTTTTAGAATTTCATACAAATAGAATCAGACAGCATATAGTCTCTAACACACATGGAGCATTAGGTTTTTTAGAGTCATCCATGTTGTTGCATATATTAATATTTCATTCCTTTTGATGGCTGACTAGTATTCCATTGGGTTGTTTCCAGTTCAGGGGTATTGAGAATAATGCTGCTCTGAGTAGTCATGTCCATATTTTTGTGTAGACATAGGCACACATTTCTCTTGGGTAAACACACAGGTGTGAAATTGCTGATTCCTATTGTAAGTACATACATGTTCACCGTTATAAGATAACACCATATTGTTATGCCAAGTGGCTGTACTGTGCCTGCATTTCTGCCAGCTATTTATGCTCCGCATGCTTGTCAACACGTGGTATTGTCCGTCTCTTCTTCCTTTAGGCATTGTAATGTTTCCCCATTGTGGTTTTAGGTTGCATTTTTCTCATGACTAATGATGTTGGACACCCTTTCACATGCTTAATGTTGTTTCATATATTTTCTTTGGTAAAATGTCTATTCAAATCTTCTGCCCATTTTTCAGTTGGGTTGTTTGCTTTCTTCTTATTGGATTTAAGAGAGAAAGAGAGAGAGGCAAGGGAGAGACAGAGAGAAGGAGAGAGAGAAGAGCTGGAAGGGAAGGTGTGTGTGCGCGCGCGCACGCACACACACATGTTTGTATAAATATACATTGATACAAGTCTGACCCTTTGGTTTGAATGAAGGGCTCAAAAAGTCCCAAGTTATGTTTTCTAGTGTCCCTCAAGGGACATTGGTTACATAGATAACATTTGCTGGGTACTTATTATGTAATAGGCACTATTTTAAGTGCTTTACATATATTAATTACTTTAATCCTTACAGTGACGCTTTAAGATAGATACTGTTATTCCCGTTTCACAGATGAAGCAGCTGAGGCACTGCAAGTTTGTATGACTCACTGAAGTCACATGAGTAGGCAGTGGTGGAGCAGGCTGGCTTGGGTGCCCATGTTGGGAAGCACTGCACTCTCCTGTCCCCTTCCACAGCTCCCTCTAGGACCACTGCGAAGGTATCTGTTATGGAGCTTTGTACCAGTGCTCTGGGAGCACAGGACTAAGAGTGATGAATTCTGGCTGCTTGAGGATACAGCACAGAAACAAAACACATTCTGCAGAAAAATGACATTTCATGCTAAATAGGATGATGGTATTTGTGTTCAGGGAAGAATGCTGCAGAAAATCAACTAAAAACAGCCAACTAAAAGAAGCTTAGAGTCTAGAGGAAGAGATGGAATTCACACATCAGGTTCAAGGTGATAAGGGCTAGATGACAAGTTTAGACAAATTGCCAAGGGAGTTCACAAAGGAAGGAGATCAGCCATGTGAGGTGGTGAGGGGAGCCCTCAGGGAGGGCGCTGCAATGTGAGGTGGCCTTAAGGGGTGGGCAGGCAGCTGGTGGGAAGACAGCCCAGGAAGAGCTGAGTGGTCAGGTTTGACAGGACAGTTGGGGACACATGAGAAAGTTAAGTGAGAGAGAGGACAAGAAGAGTGAGGCCAACCACAGAGTCTCAAAAGCCAGTACAAGCAATCTGGTCTTGGCTTTTGGATCAATACAGGACAGGGTATTTGATAAATAGTCTGGGGGAGAGAAATGGTTAAGAAGTCAGGAAAAGGGGGAAAGGGACCCCAGCTCAGGGGGAAGTGAGCAGAGACAGGAAGGAGAGGTGAGGCTGGTCGGCCACAATACTGTGCCCTACACGGCTAGGGGCTCTGCTCCCTGAATTGGGCACTAACCAGACCCACTGTGAGGAGCACAGGGGAGAAAGTGGGGGTCAGAGGCAAAGGAGTCTCACCCAAATTTCATTGGCTTATGAGAAAGTAACACTGATGATATACACCTTTAAGATTATTACTCTTGAACACACAGTAAACATTTTTTTGGGGGGTGGCATAGTTCTATAAATTTTCACCTGTGTATAAATTCATGTAACCATCGTCATGACCAAGAGACAGAAGGGGTCCCTCTAAAGCTCCTTTATTCATTCCATGTCTGTTACCAATGGCAAGCCCTGCTCTGTGCTCCATCACTATGCTCCCTTTTGGAAAATGTCATAGAAATACAGTAATACAACAAGCCTGAGCCTGGCTTCTACCCACAGAATGCCTCTG